CAGTTAACCAAAAGAAAGAAAGAGCACCTCCAAATCAACAAAATCAGAGATGAAAGGGGAAACATCACAACAGACACCAGAAAGATACAGAACATTATAAGGGAATACTTTAAAAACCTATACGCTACTAAATATGAAAACCTAAAAGAAATGGACAGGTACCCAAAAGCATGGGAACCACCAAAACTAAACCAAGAAGAGATTAACAGCTTAAACAAACCCATAACACATAAGGAAATTCAAACAGTTATACAAAACGTCCCAACTAAGAAAAGTCCAGGACCAGATGGATTTACAGCAGAATTCTACCAGACATTTAAAGAGGCTCTACATCCAATACTACTTAATTTATTAAAAAAAAGATAGAAATGGAGAACTTCCAAATTCCTTCTATGAAGCCAACATCACTCTAATACCAAATCCAGGTAAAGATACAACCAAAAAAGAAAACTATAGACCCATATCCTTAATGAACGTAGATGCAAAAATTCTCAACAAAATACTTGCAAACCGCATACAGACACATATCAGAAAGATCATCCACCATAATCAAGTCAGCTTTATCCCAGAGATGCAGGGATAGTTCAATATACGTAAGTCAATAATCGTCATAAATCATATAAATGGGCTCAAAGACAAGAACCACATGGTCATCTCAATAGATGCAGAGAAGGCCTTTGACAAAACTCAACATGCATTTATGTTCAAAGTCCTAGAGAGAACTGGACTGGAGGGACATACCTCAATATCATTAAAGCCACATATTACAAACCCACAGCCAACATCATTCTAAATGGAGAAAAACTGGAAGCATTCCCATTGAAATCAGGAACCAGACAAGGCTGTCCACTATCTCTATTTCTCTTTAACATAGTGCTTGAAACTCTTGCAAGAGCAATAAGAGCAGGAAATTATAGAAGTACTAATTGGAAAAGAGACCAAATTATCCCTTTTTGCAGATGACATATCTAAGAGATGCCAAAAGTTCCACCCGAAAACTCCTAGAAATTATTAACATGTTCAGTAAAGTGGCAGGTTACAAAATTAACCTACAAATGTCTGTAGCCTTTCTGTATACCAATAACAAGAAATCAGAAAGAGCACATGGAAACACTCCCCTTCACAATAGCTGCCAAAAAAAAAAATTTCTGGAATAAACCTGACCAAAGACATTAAAGAACTCTACAATGAAAATTTTAAATCTTTAAAGAAAGAGATTGAGGAAGACATCAGAGAAGATGGAAGGACCTCCCATGCTATGGATTGGAAGAATTAATGTTGTGAAAATGACCATACTACCAAAAGCCATTTATAGATTCAATGCAATGCCAATCAAAACCCCATGACATTCGTCACAGAATTGGAAAAAAAAAATCCTAAGATTCATATGGAAGCACAAAAGACCTCAGATAGCCAAAGGAACCCTGAGCAGTAAGAGCAATGCCAGAGGATTACTATACCAAATTTTAAGGTGTATTACAGAGCTGTAGTCATAAAAACAACATGGTACTGGCACAAAAATAGACCCATAGACCAATGGAACAAAATTGAAGACCCAAATATGAGTACATGCAATTTCAGCCTTTTGATATTGGACAAAGGGGCCAAGAATATTCACTGGAGGAAAGATAGCATGTTCAGCAAATGGTGCTGGCAAAACTTGATCTCCACTTGTAGGAGAATGAAACTAAGCCCCTATCTTTCACTTTGAACTAAAGTCAATTCCAA